GCCACCACCATGTTCTCCCCCTCCTCCACCATACCCACCACCACCTCCTTTTCCACCACCACCACCTCCCCCGTAGCCCCGGAAGCTGAGATCAGAGACGCCCCCAACTCCCACGTCAAGATTGACGAGCGTTCTTGCCGCCGAGCATATTGCGACGGCCACCAACACAAGGAAGAGTATATTAATAGCTGTATGCGGCGGCGGCATTGCAATGGTAATGAATATTAGTGTTTTTAATTATTTGTTCGACGAATTAATGTTTGGGATTAATGGGTATTTATAGGGACGGGAAAGAGAAGGAAGAAATTAAAAGCGCGTTAAATGACAAAATAAAGATGGTCACTTATTATCTCATAATGACGCCACAATTTATTAATTCTCCATCATGCACACGCACATTTTAGCTAGTGTGCCTCTGCTGTCTCCCACAATGGACTTCAATTGTTATTGGAGAAATTTATTTAGGGACGTATTCAATCAAAACTCAGTAGGATTTTTTAGATTTTAAAAATCTATGTGTATTCAATTATGATTTTAAAAAAAATTATTTATAACCTGAGTGTATTCAATTGAGATTTTAAAACGTCAATTAAAATCTAAGTGTATTCAATTAAGATTTTGAAATATCTTTTTAAATCCAATGGTATTAAAAATAAAGTAGATTTTCAAAGATTTTCATAAAACATAGATTGTGAAGGATTATTGGGCTTGAGTATAAATAGAAATCCTAATTTCAAATCTCTAAAAAAATCCTAAGAGTATGTTTGATTCAACGAATTTAAAAAGGAAAAGAAAAGAAAATGAAGTGGAAATCACTTTTTCTTGTTTGGTTGGAAAGGAAAAGAAAGGAAAAATAGAAGGAAAAGAAAATTAGAAGGCAAAATATATTAAGTGGATAAAAAACCAAATTCTTCCTGTTTTGGTGAGGAAAATGAGAGAAAATAAGTTTCCTTTTCTTTTCCTTTCAAATTTCTTGAACAAAACATAGTGTAAAGATTTTGTTGAATTCTATTCTGTGTAACGCCAAAACACCCTAAAAATATTATTGAATTATTACTCAATCAAACAAATTTGTTTTGATTAAAATAAATTATTGTTGGGCCTTGGGCCGAAATAAAATATGTTTTGATATCCCATATCACAATTTGGATGAATCTCATGGAGATAAAATTTAATATGTTGATTGTTTGTGTGATCTTGATTGGAAACTAGTGTACACACCCAAATCAAAAATAAATAAAGAATTTGATTTATGATGTGAACTTTTGAGAAATAAATAATGAAAATTTATAATATGAATTGAATATGATATATATAAGAATATTTTTAATAAAAGATTAATTAAATCAATTTTGACTCTGTCAAAGTCAAACACCCAAAAATATGATGCCGAGAAAAGTATTACAAATAATTATAAAATTTATAACATTGGATAGAGTTTGACTGTCTGAGCGCATGCATTAGTAAATCAGAATTTAATTTGGAGAAAGTTAAACTAAAAAGTGTATCTTGATTAGGACAAAATAAGTCCCTGATGGATACCCTGGAATGGGGGTATCCGGCCCAATGGAAATAGCGACCCAACCCAGCCAAGCTTAGGCCCACCTAGCTAGGCGGAAGTGAGAACAAACTGAAGTCTCAAGAAGGCCGCTGCTGCGTCAAGATACACTTGGCCCCGGCAGACGTGTTCAGTCTCGGACCACCCTCGACCGGCTCTTCGTCAGAGGACTTCAGGAAGCAGATCACGTGTACTCGGCCTCAGCCTAAGATGCTAACGGACCAGGCCCAAAGGCATGGGAGCTGCCTAACCAGTCAAGTCAAGGGGCCCACGATTGGACCCCTGCCACACTTCCGTCAGAGTAGTTTTAGCCACCCTACTTGTAACCTATTTTGTATAGCCGCCCCAAGAATAATGATGTGGTTGGCGTTGCCGGTAAACAACCAAATCTTAGTGGGCCCAGTCCGTTGGGCTCTAAACCAACGGTCGGGAGCCCCATCTGTAGGTTGTATATAAGTCCTTTCTTAAGAGAAAGGGAGACACGTTCTCTTGCACACTAATACTTACAATCTTACTTGATTCCCGACTAGTGCACTCTCGACTCAGTTCGATACTCTTTCGCCTAGTCTCCTAGGCCCCGAGTTCCTTAACCCAACATTGGTGCTTTCATTGAGAGTGTCGGACACATCAAGCGTGCTCTAAGAATGGCTGGATCATGAAGGGTGACCAGGTCATCCGCCTCCCACGCTGGTGGCGGCCTCCGGATGACTGTCACGGCGCCAATCAGCGCGTGTCAAGACGATCTGGACGTCAGCCTCAATGACGTCACTAGCCAAAATACCACTGACCTCCGCCACCGCATTCCTAGGCGGCGAGCGGCGAACGTGGAGGGTCTCAGCAACCCACTTAACAGGTGCCGGTCTAAAGCGCCGGCGTACTGACCCAGCCTCCCAATGGAATCGTACGTGGGGGAGGCATGGTGCTGCCTGGTGACTTCAGCTCACCACTCTTTTAGTTCGGGGAGACCTCCGGCGTGAGGACTCCTAGCTTGGACCCTAGCAGATTCTGGGCGATGATGAGGGCAATGATGTTCAACAACCCCATGGCTGGCTTCCAAGCGCCGGTCTCAATGCCCCAAGCGACGTTCCAACCCGAGGGACGCCGCGAAGGCCAGCAAAACGTGGTGGAAAACGTGGAGCTTTTCGCCCACCACTTGAAGGGTTTGATGGCGGACTCCCGTCTGAGTCCTTTAGCGGGAGAGCATGATAACAAAGCGGCGAGCCATTCCCAGCAGTGGGACAACGGCAAGGCCTCGGAGCGACGGGTGAACAAGAAGCAAACCAGCCGCCGGGACATGGATACGGAAAGTAAGCACCGTGAACCCCTGAAGGAAGGACAAGATGAAAGCGAGCCACACGTGCCCATGTTTAGCCGGATGCGGGTGCCTGCGACGGAGCAGTTGCATGGCCGACGGAACGCTTTCACACAAGATGGGGCAGGGAAGATATAGATGCCCTATGAAGAATGTTGTGAGCGCCACCGAGACGCTCAGCTGGACAAGCCAAATCCCTCGGTCGAACAGCCCGTCCATAACCCGATCCTCAGGGCGCCGCAAGGGGCGACCCAGCGTGGTAAATGGGGGCGCCAGTAGACCAGGGGATGAGCGCATCGATTTCCTCCTACAAAGGATTGACGCGTTGGAGAAAAGAAGCGGGCATGGATACGTAACCGAGCCCACGTTTAGACTTCGTTCTCCTTTCTCTGAGAGGATACTGAAAGCGCCCTTGCCAGGTAGCTTCCAAATGCCGGTGATACCGAGGTATGATGGAACCGCGACCCACAGGAGCATTTCAACTGATACCAGACCCTCATGAACGTTGTGACGTTCTCTGAGGAAGTCATTTGCAGGTCGTTCCCGGCAACCCTCGACGGGTTGGCGTCGGAATGGTTCAACGAGCTACTCGAGGGGAAGATTGATTCTTGGGAAGATCTGGCACGGAGGTTTCTGGTACACTTCGCAGGTAACAAGAAGAAGAAACTCCATTTCTCACACCTATTGTCAGTCAGACAAAGGCTAGATGAGCCATTGAAGGAGTTCCTGGCAAGGTGGAAGCTGGAGACCACTAAGGTCTACGGAGGGGACGACAAAACCAGATTGTCCACGTTCCACCGAGTCCTGTGATCGGGTGATTACTCCAAGCGCCTGGCCTTGGAGAAGCCGAAGGAATACTCCATTACACTGGCCATGGCGGAAGACGAAGCCGAAACAGAAGAGTTGGAAGCCAACAAGAAGAAAGAGGAAGCAGGAAGATTGGGGACCATGGTGGCAACCACGAGGCCCCCGGCGAGAAAGGCCGCTATGGAAGAACGGCCGCCTTTGCCGACCGGACACCATTTCAAAAAGGGTAGGGATCCGCGCGATTGACGGCCTTTCAGGAAGGACGTGCACGAGGAAAGGATATTTGACGAAAGGAAGCCCTACCCCCCTCCAGGTCCCAAGCTGATGTTCCCTGACGAGCTCACACCTCTTACACACCCCGTTAGCGCCATCCTGGACTTTGCCGAACACCAAGGTCTGGTGGAATATGACCCGAGATTTGCCCCGGTATATGCCGTGGGCGATGGACCTTATTGCAGATTCCACAGAGCCGCCGGCCATGACACGGACGAGTGCAAAGTCCTCAAGAGGGAAATTGAATTCTATATCGATATTGTTCTTAGAAAAGAGTGATATTTGTAACTCCATACTGAATGATCTTTTGCTGGGATTGAAAACTCAACTGTAAGGATTACTTGACAAGGAATCATCGTCCTTGAGAGAGTACATGTCTTAATTGTACGCAAAGAAAGACTAATCGATGAGACACTTTGCCACGCATTGACAAATTGTTGGGTCAAAGAACCTACTTTTTAGAAGCTGTAGACAGCTCGACCTTGTTGAATGAACTGATACCTAGTTATGAAAGGATTAGTGACTTATTTGCTTATCGTTGACTGCATCACGGTAGTCTAATTGAATGGATGAAATAAAGTGATATTGATATATCATACTGACAAGACAAATCATTAAGACAATTGGCTCATCCATATACCCTACTCAGTGAAAGATCGCAAATGTGGTGACGACGTGAAATGAGTCGTGCAGTAGTGATACCACCAATGTATGACTGAAGGATGAAGAGAACGTTTGATATTAACATACACTCTGATGTTGGAATTAAATATTTTTCTTAACTTGCACTGACAGTGCAGCCTAGAATAATATATATGGCCGACTCGTAATATCCATGGACAATATTATTTCAACACAAGTTTAACTTAAATTACTTAAGAAACGTTACAGATGCAACTCTAAGTCTAAATTCCCAGGATTTGCAAACTAATAAGAATAATATCTTATTAGTTCTAATATTTTTTGTGAAAATTTGGTGTAAATTAAAGAATGTCAAAGCTTATGTAACGCAACCCCACTTTAAAGCCTCGTATTTCCAATGCTCTAAGTGTTAAAGTTTTTTTACTCAAATTTTATTTATGTTGTTATTGATGAAATCTTATTAGTTCTAATTTATAAAATGTAACAAAAATAAAATAATAAAGATTTGAAACTCAAGTATTTTTTATGAAAATGTGGTGTAAATTAAAGAATGTCTAAGCTTATGTGACGCAAACATGATTAGAAAAGAAGATTTGAAGCCCCACTTTAAAGTCTCGTATTTCCAGTGCTCTAAATGTTAAATTTTTTTTACCTATGCTAGTAATAGAGGGTCTTCCCCTAACTATTACGGAGTACTCTCTACTACGGGAAGAGTATACTATAGAACCGCCCCTGCGTATGTGTGGGGGTTGTTGGGCTCTTGATGGTATTGGGTGGGGGCAAATTTACACCACCGTCCACTCCAATACATTGAATTCATTCAACGAGCGTGCAACAAACACACTTGAAACGAATCCATTGGTGTCGCCACTTCTCGATCCACACATATGTAATGTAAGCCATGGCATTCATCTTTATGTTCCTTTCATCGCCTCTCATTCCCAATCTTTCTTCTAAACAATTCAATTAACTCTAAAAGCTAAAACTGTTTTTTTTTTTTTTGGAATGATCAGCTGCGATCTCTTCTACAATACCAAAACTCCCCAGACTACCCCAGACAGTTCAATGACTGATGGGCTTCCTGGCTAATTATATTATATTGGTGTGTACAAGTGAAATTGAAATTCATCTAGGGCCACTGGCTATTATAGGACGTGATGAACCAGACGGATAACGGGATTTGTGAAAAGGGTTAGAACTGTTGCTGCCTTCTTTGAGTGGGGGAGAAGCGATCACTCTTCTCCTCTTCTTGTCGACAGAGCTTTCGCTCTGTGTTCCTCTCAGAGCAGCCATTAATTGATTCCCTCTTGAGCCGCGCAATGTCTTCTTGACCAGCAAAAGTGCATGCTTTCTCTCCTCGTTTGCCTCTGCTTCCTTCTGGGAATCTCTTTTTCGACCAGAACTCTGATCCACCACACGTAAATGCCCGCGAGGGATTGAATAGACATTTTCTGCAGCTCAAAAACAGAGACTTTTTTATTACTCTATTCCCTAGCAGTTCTGTTTCTTTAAAAACAAAAATCGACGGAAATAGCATTAAATTCACAGTAACTTTACCAGGGGAATCCTCTTTGTATATATCATCTGGGCTTGGAGATCTTGTTGGTGTTTTCGGAGTCATATACGCACGCAGCTTAGAAATGCCATTATACTGTCTGCTCCTCTCTCTCAGTGGAGATGGAGAAAGCATTTCCTCAACTTCTGCAGAAGTTGAGGCATCCAAGGACCTTGTTTCAACAGGCAATGCAGGAGTGGACGTCATCTGTGGGCCCACATTTTCTTTGCTTTCCTTGAAGTTGTCATGGTTCACTCCGCAAAACCTTGTTGGTGACGCCATGTCAGCAACATTGCTACACGTTCGAGGTGGGACGGTGGTGGCATCCACGTTCTCTAGGACTGACTTGGGAGAAGTGTTAAAAACGGGTTTGAATATAGAGATCTTTTGTGTTTCGATAAAATCTGAAAACCATGGAGTGCCTGATTTTGCATAGAAAAGAATGTATGCCTCTTGAGACATGACATAATCTTCTCTAACACGGGTCACCTACAAATCAAATCAGTAGCTTCAAATCGTGATGTCCAGCATATCAATAAGCAGTATGAAATGATTCGCTCTTGAAGATCAAAACTAAAAGGTGAAACCCTTTAGAATGGGATATACCTGGGAGTCATCAAATTTGTACCACACATCTGGGGCAGCACGGATGAAGCAGTAATAGTGCCCAGAACAAGATGAGAATCCAATATGCACCAAAACAGCATAAAGATAATATTTTGAATCTCCCTGCATATGAAACATAAAAGAGGATAAGAGATGTGTTTAATAGAGTATTAGCAACCATCCAACATTGTGTTTTCAGGTTGTTTCAGTCATTTAGGCAGATCAATTCTGATATAAGTTGAACGTCGGCAAGCATTCAACAAGCCTAGGAAATACTCCGTATTTGACTATTGTTTTGATGGGGAGGTGTTGGGAGTCCGTGTGTTGGGCAAACATCCCACACCAGATAACTATAACAAATATTACTCTCATATAAAGAAAGGTGAAGCACTACCTATTGGCTTAAGCTTTTGGGTTAGAAAGTAAATCCCGATCTTATAAGAAAAATTGGTAAATCCCACCCGACACTCCACATGATTCACTTGACTCACAAAAAATCCAACAAGGGGTGAGTAGATGGTGGCATACAAATCAATAAGACCAAGAACTAATCATAGTTAAAATATTATCCCAGATGAATCAAAACTAGTGCACAAGCTATGTGAATGCAATAAAGTAGAAACTCACTTCACTTCCTTGATTCTTTACAGCAGTATATGGAAGCAAATCCAATTCAAGTGGGAATGCAACATGTCTGTCAATCTTCTCAACAACAGAACCATCATTTTTGAATCTCTTCAAATGAAATGCAGCTACTGAAGGGGTCTCATCCAGTAAAAGCTGCTTCTCAACCAGCACTTGTTCTTTACAATTATCACATGTGAACTTTGTCTCAGGATCTTCAATATTTTCAACCTTTGTAAAAGACTCCAAAGCAGCAGGAATGCTGTTTGCATCTTCGATCTCCAAACTCAAGTCAATCAAGGGCTCGTATGTGTCAGAACAGTGGCCACAATTGCAGCACCGTAGCTGCAAATAATGAAAATTGTTTATCAATGATTAGCCATCTATGGCGCAAGTAAGAGTGCAAATCAAAGTGTTTCTTGAGTGGTTACTTTGCTAACGAGGCGACCTCCAAAGGTCTGTGTGACAAGGTTGACATACTGTGGGGGCATTGATTCCTTCTGCTTCGTATCCTTGCAGCAGCTTTCAAGTCTATCCAGAAAACACTGGAGGAATTCATGAGCATCTTCCTGTTGGTAACGCTGGAAACTAGATGAAAAGTCTGGATTATAGAAGTTAAGGATGAAAATAAAATGCTCCATAACGGTTTAAAATTGTTTGTAATGCCAAGGCAGAATATTTTCAGTAAATACAGACTTCCATGTAAATGATTATGTTTTGCCCTATCACAGATTTGCTACTGTATTTCCTTTTGGTCAGTATAAATACATTTTCAAAATTATAAAAAATGTTACCATTCTGCAAAAAAGATTAGGATTAATCAAATGATATTACCATATCTTGCTCTTTTCATTCTATGTCCTTTGGTTCTCACCACATGTGGGAGCTATCAGTAGGGAGTCTTTAATCAAGAATTTAACTGGACTTTTTTAATGAACGGATCTGAGCAATTTCACTGGGAAACCTGAAGATCCAGATCCATCCATCATTTCATTATTGAGTAATGAGTATTTAGGTTTAATAGGATCATCATAAATGAAAATATAAAGAGTTGTATCAACAGGATAGTGAAGAACAAATTTGTTTTTACTCGCATAGCACTTTGGTTTCAAACAACAATATTGTATGTTTCGAACCCAAAAAATACTAGAGAAACAAAACAGCAAGGGAACAAGTGGGTGGGGGACAAATAGGAAATAAAGAACATACGGAAACAAAAGATGGGCTAATAAATGTTGTTTAGTTTGAGAACACTCATTTAATAATCCAACCAAGTTTTTGATTTCTTAAAAGGTATAAATTTCATTAGTCAGATAATCTATTGTTGGGTTGTGTTTGGATCATGAAAATGATTGGGAAAAGAAAACAATTTTAAGAGAAATTATTTTTGTATAAATCCACTCTTTCAGAACCTCATCTGCGGAATTTGAGTGAGATTGTTGCTATTGTTGTTGAAAAACCTAAATATGTGTGAAATGTTAAAAAAACTAAGGGTATTTAGTTTTTTATTCTATTTTCAGTGATAAAAATAATCATACCCAAATAGTTTTTCTTAACATTTTTTTCCTTTTCTCTATCATTTTCATGATCTAAACATAACCCAGAAATAATTGTCTAACTATTGAAATTTATTTTTTGGGCAAAAGATAATAATATTTATTCTTTTATCTTAGACTAAACTTCATCATTGGTCCTTCAACTTTATCAATTGTGCACGATTGGTCCTTCAAGTTTTAAAAGTCCATAAATAGTCCTTCAACTTTATGAGTTATGCACGATTGGTCCTTCAAGCTTTAAAAGTGCATAAATAGTACTTCAAGTACACGTCAGCCCTCCAGATGAGGTCCTTTTGAGAGTAAATGTTAAAAGCTAAATGGAATACTAGCTCCATATAATACGGAGCAGTCGTATCTAATGGAATTTACTCGTATTATATAACACTAGTATTTTGTTTAACTTTTAATATTTATGGTCAAAAAGACTTTATATGGAGGGCTGACGTTTACCTGAAGGACTACTTATGGACTTTTGAAACTTGAAGGACCAATGGAGCAGAACTCATAAAGTTGAAGGACTATTTA